ATTTAATTTTCTATATTTTTGTCTTCATCATATATAATTTATTTTCCATTTTTATTTATTGAAAAAATACTTTATTTAATATTTTTGTGTTTATATTTACAAAATATATTTAATATAGAGATATTTATATAAATATAGTAATTTTAAAATGTAAGTATTTATACTCACTCCGTATTTAACATAAGAGATTTTAATAATAAATTTATTTATTTGTTTAACACAGGTTTCTGAAGCCTTATAATAACACATTTTTATTAGAAAAAATATATACGTGTATCTATATAGTCTGAGCTAAATTTCTGAATAGGTTTTTTGTATATTTGATTGTGTGTGTGTGATAATTAGTTATTCATAATATGGTCTTTTTTATAACATGCAAACTAATTTAATGCGAATGTGTCTTTCATTAATTAAAACAATTTTGATTACCCATATATGTAAATATGTACCAAAGGAAATACCTCTTCCTTTTAACTATGCACACATCGGTGATCTGCACATTTGTAAATGCAAATTCGAACTGCTTTTCACATGTGTAGATATGTGGTGTACTTACAGTAAAAGCAGTCGCCTACTTCTACCCACCATGAATATCATGGTCTGTACCACGTGTACTAAGGATAATAAAAAAATACTATGCATACATTAGAACAAAGTTTTATACATTTATCACTTTAGTAAAGAACATTTCTAGTGTCGATAAAGAATAAGCCCCAGCACCAGTTTTGGCAAATTTATTCTTTATCATCACTAGTAAAGTTTTTTACTAAATGGCGCTTAGTTTTAGTGTCTCTTTTGACGGGAGAGGCGACCATTATTTTTAAGGATCCATTTCCTCCCGAAGAAAATGTTCATTCTAAATATAAATGTAAATAAATACATACCTTATTATGCCTTGACAAAAATTGTGGTGTTCATCCAACCGAAATATTGACAAATACATTTTTATATAAAGCAAATACAGTATATGCCTTTTTATTATATTATATTATTATATTTATATATAGTTCTCTCTCTCTCTCGCGTCTGCCAAGTCATCCATACACAGGTTCTTTCTGAGCCTTGAGATGAGGGGAGAACGTGACTTACTGTCTGGAGGAGGACTCTGTCGTTGGGGGAATCTCCTCGACTGTACATAACTGTATATATTTTACTCTTTTACTTTATCCCTCTTTTATTTTATCCATTTTTACTATATACTATATACATTTTACTATATATACTACTACCATTGACTTGTGTATGAGGTCAATAAAATATTTTTAAATCTCAATCTCTCTCTCTCTCTCATTTTATTAAAAATAAACGGAAATACTTGATTTAAATACTTTTATAAAGAAACTTTGGCCTCCCCCCATACATACGTACATAAAATTATGATGACCGATTATATTTGCACGATTTTATAAATATTAATAATTTGACAAAAGTTATTTTTATATTTGAAAGAAATGTGTTTCTCCAATGCTTATATATTTATATATATATTTAACGCTTTATATATTTCCTTTTAGAATTCTTCAAATATTGAAAGCTATTCTGAACTTATAAATTGATGGAAAGATAAAGTATCACCCCATATTCACTTCTTTTGAAATTGAAGCGTGTGTGTAAAAAGGGGTAAAAAGCATTGCATACATATTTATAACCCATTCTTATCGAGAATCTTTGAATTTGCATATATTTCCTTTGAATTTTATGCCAATTTATTCTGTTGAAGTCGCGACGTGAAAGCCTTGGTGTGATCCAACTATGCGTCAATTTTTTATGTCAAACGATGCCGCTAAAATCGCAATAGCCTAGTCGCCATTTTATCAAAATGAGCAATATAGAAATGAAAATATGTCCATTATAATTGTAAGAGTTTTTAATGATATTTTAGGAATTTTAATTATATAGTAAAATGTTAATATTAAACTTTAAAATGTTTGTGTGTTTATTAATATTTAAAATGTTATTAAATTTTAAATAGGCATTATTCAAATTTCAAATATTATTAAATTTCTTCAAAATATTTTGTTATTAAATTTTAAACTGTAAATATTCAAATTTCCAATATCATTAAATTTCTTTTAAATATGTTGTTATTAAATTTTTAAAATTTATCAAAAATATGTAAAGCTTATTTACGCTAATTTAAAAATCAAAATACATTAATCTTAACTATATAAGTTTTTTAAAAATGTATAGGTCTTAAAAATAGAGCAATTTTAATTAGAATAAAATATTACGTAAATTAAAGCATCTTTAGTATAATTTAGAAAATATGAAATAAAAATATCGATTAAAAATGATATTATTAAAGTGAAAAATATTGCTATTAAAATGTAGAAGTTTGTTCAAGTGTAAAATGTGTGTTAAAATGAATAATATGTTTCAGCAACCCTGTGAAAAAAAAGGAATATGTTTACCCAAATTTGTATATATTAACTTGATATTCTCTAATAAATAAATATGTTTTTTTATTTGTTAAGGATAATAAAATAATATTCTAATTAGTAGTATTATATAAACTATACAATAACAGATTATTAAACAGAAGTTTAAATAATATCAAAGAAATATATCAAGATTAAAAAAGTAAGTAAAATTCTTTTAGTAAGTACAATTCCTTAAATATATTTTTTAAATGAGCGCAAATAATTCTTATTTGACAATTTTAACTGGAACTAATTTAAACAGTTAGAAATTTAGAGTAAAACTATTATAAGAAGAAATACAAATACTTTTAACATTAGAAAAAGAAATTAATGATTTTTATGAAGATAAAAACTTGAATTATTTGTAATTAAAGATGCAAAAGCAAAATCTACGCTTGTTCAATGTTTAACTGATAAATATCTAGACATAATTAAAGATGAAAAAAAAGCAAAAGAATTTATAAGAGCGCTCGAAAAAAAATATATATTTATTTAAAGCGTATTTACAAAATTAACACAAAAAAAAATTGTTGACTTCAAAATCTAAACATACTTAAAAATCATAGATCTCTAGATGCATAGTTTAATTATTCTCCCAATTTGCCCATTATAGAACTTTTGATTATCTACTAATTTGTATCTGTTGTGTATTTAGGGTTACCTCGTCGTTTTTAACAAATTTTTGCAACTCACATTGATGCTTTTATGTATGTATTTATTTATTTAGACAACATTAATAGTATTTAATATATAGTAGTTATTATAGTATTATATTTAATATAGTATTTAATAGTAACAAATTCAATTATAAAGTCTAACTAACGACGCGGTCATTGTTTACCGAAAGCCAGAAACAAAAGATGTAGGAAAGAATAATTATTTTGACCGGTCATTATTTAAATTATATATAATAATGACCAGTCATATGAAATATCTATCAGTATTCAATTGTAAAATTAAGTCATATATATTAAATAGTTGTCTTTTGAAGTTATGTAAATATCACATATATATAAATCTATTGAATAGTTAAGATTCATTTCATATTTGATATTCCAGTAGAAAAGGTCGTTATACCTGAAAGCTCGAAGTTTTGGTAATAAAAGAAGAAATTTATCCTTGGAGACTTGTTGTTGATTCGGATGCTTAAAAATTAGAAGACCATTTTCTTAAATTTGATTCTAAAATTAACGAATTGAATAATATAGGTTCCAAAATGGAACAAATATATGTCATCTGTTATTGTTGTTGTATATAGAATATGTAATCACAGAGCTCTATATGGATTAAGATCCAATATCATGGAACAATAAATACAATTTGACACAATTAATAAGGAATCAACGGTTTCTTTTATCATTTCTTTTATTTCTCGAACTTACGAGAAAGCATGTTATCTCGAAAGTGAAAAACCTATATATATATATATATATATAAGGTTTTATAATATTTTTCAAGGAAAGTTATAGAAAATTTTTAATTAATTTTTTGATAAAAAGATTACATGGTTCTGTCTTTGCTCTTTTTCCTACTCTAATATCTTCAATTCTTCCTTTTTTTCTATGTTCTGCTTCAATGACGAGTAAAGTCCGATGTAATAAGCGTGAACTTGTTATAGCCCTTTATTGTTACATAAAGAATTAAAACCTTTTTTGTTACCCTAATAATAATATTTAATAATTTGTTTTAATCATAATTAATTTACAACTACTTTTCAAATGAATTATATTTAATTCTACTATATATATATATATATATACATATAAAATGAAAGAATTTAAAAGCACGAATGTTTCTTTTATACATAATACAAACTTCTACTGTTCTTACTGCGATGAAAAAATATATTGGGAGGGCTTGGCTCATCAGTGGTGAACCCTCCCAGCGGTTTCACCAATTTAATCCACCGCTTCTCAGAGCTCTAATACTGTATTGGACAATTCTGCTTTTATACGCAGCACTGAAGGGTGGAATCTCAGAAATGGTTTTCAAGAAAACTATTGACATAAGGTTATTGGTCAGTAGAATTACATTCAAATAGTAGAAGTTTGTTTTTTGTATAAAAGAAACATTCGTGCTTTTAAATCCTTTCATTTTATATGTATAGATGGCGCGTTATTGCTTTGTGTATATTATATATATTGAAATTTTATTAGATATAAGAATATTAAAATCAAAAAAGGGGCCTATCCTGACCACGAGCCCATGAGCATTTTAGATGGCAGAGCGCCATCTAGTGAAACAGAAATCAACTAAACGTTGATGACGCCTTGCCATCTAAAAAAGCTCATGAACTCGTTGTCAGGATATGCTTTTTTTTATTTTAATGCCAACATCTGACCTTTATTATTATAGTATATATTAAGAGTAATGATAATATAATTATTATTACTCTTCACAATTCATCCTTTCATACTTCATCCCTAAGGTTAGATCGTTATTTCTCCTCAAAATAAATTTCGATTTTTCGTTCAAAAGAAACATTTGCGGTATAATTATCAAACTATATTCTACAATCATAAACCGCATTATATTGTATAATAAATTGCTTTATATAATATTTACAAACGGAAAACCATGTCCAGGGTAGCCTAGTGGACATGGCATCTGCCCGGTAAGGCGAACACTGTGGGTTCGATTCCCATCCCTGGACACTTTATTTTTCCATTTATTATTACTTTTCACAATTCATACTTTCATACTTCATCCCTAAGGTTAGAAATAATCGTTATTTCTCCTTAAAATAAATTTCGGTTTTTGGTTCAAAAGAAATATTTGCGGGATAATTGTCAAACGATATTCTACAATCACAAGCCGCATTATATTGTATTATATATGTATGTATGTATTATGTATATATGTATGCATACTTGTATATAGTTTTTTAAATGTTAGTGTATATGTTGATTGTAAATTACATTTTAATTAGATTCTTGAAACCTTTCGGTTGATAAAATAATTATATTAAGTCCCAATTCCCTCTCTAATTGAGTTATTTCATGTTTATCCCTAATCTAAAATTTAATTAATATACACGAAAAAAAATATATATATAAGCTGCTTTAATAAATATTAAAGATTTTAAAATAAAAACAAAACTAAATAATATATTATATAATTATTTGATAAAGGGAAATCTATATATTTATATAATAATATATTAATTCAAATAAAATTATAAATACGTATATCCAGTAATTTATAATACTGTAATAGAGAAGAAGACGATAACTTTGCTTTACTTCTGATTCTCTACCATTGCCAAATGTTTGCCAAACGATAATTGTTTTTTTTTTTTTGTTTAACAAATGTTATTTGAATATATATAGGGAAAAAATGAGCTTTTGGGCGAATTTTTAAATTTTATTTTAAGGTTTTGAAAGCTTTCCAGCAAATTTTGCTATTTAACGGGCAAATACTATTGTATACGGGGGGTCGGTGGAAGGATGATCTAAACCGTTGGTTTTGGACCGCTACGACCCGGGTTCGATTCCCGCATTAGGCACCTTTTTCTGATAAAAATAAAATGCTCCGGTGGTCCCCAATTCTTGCAAAAGTCCAACCCCACCAGCGACTACAAGTAACCAAACGGGGTTCTGGCATATTTGTAAGTGCAAAGTCGAACTGCTTTTCACATGTGTATACATGTGATGCACTTACAGTAAAAGCAGTCGCCTTCTTCTACTCACCATGATTACACTGGTCAACAAGATTTTTGCACAAGAGAACCTGATTATGTTTCTAGTGTAACTTTTCATGCTGAACTCAAAAATCTAATCAGAAATTTCCCATCACGTATGGTTTTTGCGTGACGGTCTTTTTTTAGTATTGGGATAAATACACTAAAAATTGCAAACAATGTCACGTAACTGGTTTATCAAAAATATTTTTCTTTGTCCACAAAGAAATAGCATCTTATCTACATGTCCTGAATCCAAATATACCATAAGTTTTTTTCTATTACACAATATTTCTGAGATACACCTACTTGAATTTGGAAATATTGTTAATATATAGGCATATATGAACGAAACATATTTATTATTGAAAAGCAGTGACAGTGGATTTTCTTCTATACGTTGCTTGTGGTAGATCCCTCTTGAGTGCCCAGCAGTCGTCGGCAAGCATAGCGGGACTCCATTTACCTTGGTACCGCTTCTCCATGCTTGATATAGCTTGATGAAACCTCTCACCATGCTCATCGCTAACTGCGCCAAGATTGTCTGGAAAGAAATCTAGATGCGAATGCAGGAAATGGATCTTGAGGGACATGTTACATCCCAGTGCCTTGTAGGAAAGCAACAGATCAATAACTATGTCTCGGTAATTTTCAACCTTGACACTTCCTAAGAAGTTTTTGCAAACGTTTCTAAAGGAATTCCATGCTGCTGCTTCAACTTCATTCAAACTATTTTGAAAATTTCCATCTTGCTGCAATTCTCGAATCTGAGGTCCAACGAAAATGCCTTCTTTAATCTTCGCTTCACTTATAATTTGAAATTTTTTGTTTTAGGTAGGCAAATCCACTGGCATTTCGATCCATTGCCTTGACAAAGTTCTTCATTAATCCCAGTTTAATATGTAATGGTGGTAAGTAAATATTTTCTGAATCGATCAGGGGTAGATTTGCAATATTTTTATATCCTGGAGTAAAGATTTTACGGTTTAACCAGATTTTTTTAATGTAATGCCTTTCCCTATCTCTGCTATCCCACTCACACAGAAAACAACAAAATTTTGTATATCCAAGCTGTAATCCCCGCAAGAGAGCAACGACTTTCAAATCGCTGCATATTTTCCAACCGTATCTTTCATATTCTATCTTTTTCAAAAGCAGTTTCATGTTTTCGTAAGTCTCTTTCATGTTGGATGCATGTATTTATCCCAATACTAAAAAAAGATCGTTAGGCAAAAACCATGGGTGATGGGAAATTTCTGATTAGATTTTTGAGTTCAGCATGAAAAGTTACACTAGAAACACCATCAGGTTCTCTTGTGCAAAAAAAAAGGTTTTTTTTTGTAGACCTGTGTTATCATGGCCTGTACCACGCGTACTAGGGATAAGCAAAAAAAACTATTGTATAAGACATAAAAATGATCTTTTTACATGAATATTTGAAAAATTTGTGTGTTCTTTGCGTGGGTGTATCAGAGCTTTTTTTGCCCGATATCTTGAAACACCTCAAAATGAAAAGAAACCTTTTGCCTATAAAAGCTCATTTTAATCTATTCAAATAATTACTGGGTGAATATTCCTTACATGAAATGTTATTTTGATTTTATTATCATTAGAGATCATCATTAGAAAAACCCTGAAACGCAGACGAGAAAAACTCCCGAACAATATATTCTCTCTCATAAACAAAACTTAAGTAAGTGAAACTTCTTTGATGTCTCAGGTTTTCTATTTTCTTTTGAAGAGACATAGGTAATTGTTATAGGTATAACACATAGGTGTGTGTTAAAATAAAAAAATATATATTTTTATTATTCTATTTTTATTATTTTTCACATGTGTATGTGTGTACGCGGTATAATATAAAATAAAAACAATCCAATACAATAGTAAAGCGGTCTGAAGATTAATTTGGCGAAACTGCTGAGAGGATTCACCATTGATGAGCCAAGTCCTCTTATTTAATAATTTTTGACGTGACAACGTCTTAAATTAGGTTGCGGCTGGGAGTCACTTATGAAAAAGTGTAACGCCCGGTAACGTTACGATGAGTCATCGAACGAGAGTGCTGCGCGCGCAGCTGCGCGCGCAGCGCTAGAGAATTAGGCGCATTGAATCGGCGCATGCTTGTCTCTGTCTTTGTCTTTCTCGAACGTTCTTGGCGTTGGAAAAACAAGAAAGCGTCATAATACAAGTTCACACGTGTGGTTAAAGTATCGTCAGCTGTGTCTGTAGTGAAAATGTGGAGTGCTTAGATTCGTCATTTACAACAACTACAACAATAAAGGTAAATAATTGTACACTGATATTTCATTATCGTAAACTATGATTGATTGATTAATTGTTAGATTGACACAAAAGTTGAGAAACTGAGTTTATAGGTTATGTCATACTATTGATAAATGTTGATAGTGTTAAGTAAATTATTAGTTTAAAATTAATTAATTAATTAATTATTATTTTACAAATTTTAAATAGTTTCAAATTTATTTAGCAAAAATTGAACCTTCGATCTGAATAAATGTTTTGATTTTCGAATTGATTCTTTAAAATTACAAATATTAAGAAAAAGTGGCAGATATAAGAAAACTTTATTTAAACTGTGTTGAGCAAGAATTTTAACATCTAATTTAAGTAAATGTTTTAATTTTCAACTTCATCATTTACAATTACAAATTTTATTTAATTTCAAATTTATTTAGCAAAAATTTGAACCTTCGATCTGAATAAGTGTTTTGATTTTCAAATACCAACGCTCTGGTGGAGTGGCGATCTATCGTAAATTATCATCGACATCTACGGCGGAAGTGTTCCAAGTTGCGATTACAGACGTAACTCGTGTCATTAAAACCAAGGGTGACATGTGCATGACTGAAGTTACTTGCTTCGCCGCTAATACTAGCTTCAAGTTTATACTCGGTGCTGTATATATTCATCCAGGAGCTAGTATGCAGGATATTGGAATGTTACTATGGCAAGGACTCGGTCCGTACATTCACAACAGCCAGTACGTGCCACCGTTCGTGCAAGTGGATTCTAGTATACCGATTCTTCTGTGTGGTGATTTTAACAAAAACGTAAAGCCTGACAACTCGTTTCTTAAATTCATGAAAAATACGTATAATCTTGATTGCGTATCAAACGTTTCTAAGTCAACTACGTTAAAAGGAACAACTATCGACTTGACTTTCGCAAGACACATTACAGCAGAAACACTTCCTTTCATTTCATATTTCTCCTATCATCGTCCTATCCTCAACAAAATCACTCAAATAGGAATTAGTTAAGTTTAAGTTTACATGTACAATGTTTTAGTAAACAAAATATATTTCTATAGTTAAAATTTGTGCAATTCTTATTTTCATTCAATTCCTTGTTCTTATTGTGCAATTTAATTATATTCATATCAATAAATATTCTACCGTTGTCACGTAAAATCTTCGCCCGTAAAACCGACTTTACAGGCAACCATTGTTTTTTTTTTATCATTGTAGTAAGCTCTATACAGAATATCTGATAATAAATATCATAAGAAACATATTGACAAAAATAATGGTTATAAAATGTATCGATTGATGGCAATTGAAAATATAATAGTATTAGTATTGATGGTTATAGGTTCTCATTAATATGATAAAACATTATTATATCGATTGTAATATGCAAATTAGTCAACATCAACAACAAAAAGGCTTTTATTAGTGTCCATTGCCCTGTATGGATTCGCCACACAACAACAAAACAATACAGCAATTTCTCTCCCTTTCCCCTTGTGCACGCGAGTCTTTGTGTGAAAAAGGATTTATTTAGGCATCTGTTCTAAAACTTTCCTCACTACCTCTTTTGGTATAAATCTATTTACAATTGATCTGTAGAAATTATAGAGTTCTATTTCTATATTTTTCTTTTCTGAAATAGTTCTCAGCTACTTCAGCGGGTTGCTAAATCTCCAGAAGGTGTCTTTAAGAGTTTTTTCT